AGCAGCAGATCTCTCTCCGTGCGAACTTTGACCTCCAGACCGCTACTGGTGCCGTTGAGCAATCTCGACAGCAAGCCCTGTTCGCCCTCGATCAGCAGCATCAGCAACGACGAATGGAGATTGAGCAGAGGGCTCAGGAACAGCGCATGCAGATCGAGTCTACTGCTAGCCAGTTGTGCATGCAGGCTCAGCAACAGAAGCTTCAAAAGGAGATGAGCGACCGCATGGCCAAGCTCCAGAAGGAACAGGCCGACCGTGAGGCTAAGGCCCAGATGACGATGCCCACCTTGCCTCAGCAGACTACCGTCACCGGCTCTTACGTCCCCCCCGCCCAGTACAGTACTCTCTCTGCTCTCATGCCTCAGCCTATCTACGCTGATGCCGGTGCTACCACTTTCTCCACAATGGGTAACCTTTCCTCCTACCCCGGTAACATCTCGTCTTATCCCGGTAGTTATGGTGGCACGCATGGTTATTCGGGCCAGCCACAGGTCATCAGAACAGTTCGTGTGGTGAATGATACACAGCCTGCTCCAACTACTACCGTCTCTAGTTAGACGATTGCCAATCAAATGATCGTGAGGTGATTGGAACTTGTGCTCAAGGAACTCTCTTGATGCAATTGCATGAAGAGGTAGGGCCTAGTTCTGCATTGTTGACTTTTCATCTCAAGGAAGTACTGTTGAGTTATTTAGTTTGGAAAATCGGATAAGAATCATGTTATCAGCCACGCGTGGGGGGGCTGAGTGCGTTTTGTACTCTTGTCTCACGCTGTCAGTAGAAGCGCGTGTTAAAGCTTACGAAGCATTCATGGTTAGGGCCTTAAAGTAAGGAAGATCGTCCTATTTTAACAAGCCGATTTAAATAGATATGATTCAAACTGTTGACCGATGGAGTTGTGGTGTTCAAAATAACAGCTAGTCGGTTACGTACCCGCACATTTCGATAAAAGTCTTACTGTATTGTCAATCCCATTCGTAATGACAACATTACCGCTCATGACACTAGCACTAGCACACCCGATTTTTCGCAGACTGTTGAAGTGCATTCATTACTTCTCCCTCGACTGCGACTCTCGCTTCTCCCAGGAAGCTGTAACAGCGAATCTTCCTATAACCTTCCTTTGACTATCAACTCGACACTATTATTCGAAACAGAGGAAAATTACTACAGTGCAGGAATAGCCACAAGAGTTGACCATGACTGCCAAGGCTGAGATATAGTCCAACACTTCAGCAAACATATACAACCTCATTAAGGAACAGCAGCAGCACTATCAGTAGTGGCTATGCCCTGAACTCGCACTCCACTATAAGCGTCATGTACAAGCGCAAGCCTCAACCTCGACGAAAGCATACAGAAAATTTAGTAAGAATAGTAGGAATAGTATCAATAGAAACTCCCACCAAACAATCAACAAGTAATCATCGCTTCTCGCAAGCGACAATCTCAGTCGGAAGGAATAGAAAGAACAAGTAGAGTAAGTGTGGTATAGCAAACAAATCATATAGTTCCCTTATTAATCAGTAACAGCACGAGCAGAAAAAAGGAATATTATTCGCATCAAATGTTCTGGCTCGACTCCAATACACTACAAAAAAGCATCGTGATCACATCATGAAAATGTTCGTCTAACATTAAGACATATTCCTAGTGAACGACGCTAACTCCTATTATCAATACACACAAGCAGCAAATGATATCATTCTATACCCCGTAGTTCGGGCGTCACACCGTGGCAGTTCAAGCTACATGACTTGCCCAAAATTAGCAGCTGAACCGACCGCGTTACCCAGGAAGGGAGGCGACACAAGGTCACCCCACACGTCGCCGTGACCGACAACGGTGAACAGTCTAGGACCTATCTCCCCAGAACCATGCGTAATAAAACAGTCCGATTCCCATGAGGAGTCACTGCTGTCCGAGGAACAATCCGATTCATCCGAGACCTCCGACAGACGATCATCATCGCCAACGTCAGCGCTGTAATCATCACCGCTCGCATCCCGTAACGACACTTTCTCTTCCTCGTAACTCCGGGCATACGAGCGACCAAGGCCCTTCAAATTGGCAAAGGGTGGAGGCAGCGACAATGGTGTTGGATACTCAGCTGCCGCTGTCGGTAATGCCTTGGACACTACAACACCCGCTTCGCGCTGTTTCGTAAACAGGTTAGAGCCATCTCTACTAGTGGTGATCACGAGACGCAAACCAGAAGGCTGAAGAGGACCTAAGCAGTGTTCATACGAAAAACCAAGCTATGGGCGACGTTAGAGAGTACCAGCACCAGCACCCATATGCGAAGTCGTCTTACTCCTCCTTCTTGCTCCATCAGGACTTGGTATTCCACAGTAAGCACAGAATGCTGCAAAAGGGAGACAACTGCTACTCCTCCACAACACAATAGTGACACTAGCTGGATGCGAACGTGGCCGATCGTACCTCCCTCCGCCACAGTCAACTTGTGGCATCGACGGCAATTACTCC